ACATGTCTCAAGCTCATATAGCGATACCCCATAATTGTGAGAGGCATCGAGGTCTGTTCGCACGAAAACATTACACTTTTTGCACAGGTGGAATACAATGTATGCATATGTACATGCAGACATGTATATATACATACATGTACCCACATAGACATACATGCTTTACATGTATTTGTATGTATATGTGGATAACATATATATATATATACATACATACATACATACATACATACATACATTACAGATGGATGGATAGATAACTCGATGGATAGACAGATAGACAGATAGGCAGACAAACAGATATGTACGTTTGTTGAGGTCTTGGGGTGTGGAGACAAGGCTTCAGAGTTTGCGGTGTGTAATGCGCATTGATGTTCGTGTTGTAACAGGTATAGGTCTTGCGGACGTCGGTGTCAAGATTTTGGGTTTGGGGGCGATGGTGCTATGGCTGCAGCAATTTCGACTTTCATTCTCGCACAAGGCAGGCAAGGCTCCTCAATTTAGGGCTTAGAGGCCGGAACTTCGTTGTAGAAGCTTTGGGTTGGAGGCCCTTGTTTGTTCGGAAGTCCCAAGTGTCTATGGCCCAATCCGAAACCCCTAATCTTTAACCGCAGAATGCGCAAACGGCACTGCGAGAGGCCTTCCCATAGCGAGAGCGTTCCAAGAAGGATTTCGGTGCGTCGGGCTGCGCTGCTGCAGGCTCCGGCACTGTTTCGCCTGAGCTCTTGACACAAGCTCCTGTAGTATCCGGAGCTAGAGCTGAGCATGTTGGAAGCTTTATGTTCTACGGCTTAAGGATCCATACACTTCTACACTATGGGGGTTGCAAGGAAGTAGTGGTGATGCTTCAGTCTCCAGAGGCCGCGGTTTGAGGATGGTCCTGCTTGAGGCCGGATTTAAGTGCTCCTCCATCGTAGGTTGATGGAGCTAGCACCTCGCTGTTGGACTTGCAGGTTTTAGCTTGGGGACCGCGGAGGGGCGTTCGGCATCAGTCAGTCAGGAGGGTTGCTTAGGGCCAACGCAGCTAAATGTAGCTAACAACTGCAAAGAATCCGGAAGCACGCTGCCTGCAGCCTGCCTGTCGATAGAATCCCGTGTGCTTCATATCTTCCCACACGATTTACGCAACTCATACAGCAACAACTGAAATAATGGACAGTCTGATCTGCACACCTTCACTGTGCCTCGCAAGCCCTACGCTTGGGCTTCAAAAACCTCCAACCCCCAAAACCGCAAAGCTCTCTAACTGCCTTTAAAGTCCGAGATAGTCCGAGGCACTTGGCATCGCCTTCGTGGGGGCTGCGGGTGTCACAAGTGGACGGGCAGGCTCCTTTTCTCCGCTGAAATCCGTCAATTCTAACGGTCCAGACAGGCATAATCCAGGACATTAATGATTGGAACGGGGTCTTGGTCTGTGTGTTTCAGCTACTGTTTTAGGGATGGAAGCTTAACTAAGCGTTAGGCGGTAAGGGTTTAAGTTTTGAGGACGTGACGGTTCATTGCGCCCACGAAAGCAGTTACCTAAGTTACCTACCTACACAGTAGCCCATGGCGAAGGTAAGTGGGCTTCTAGGGAAGGTTTACGAGTGTTTGTGGCTACGCTGTTTGAACTGTTACAACTTTATGGGTTTTTGGGGTTTTCGTTTCGAGAGATGTTTCCTTGAGCGTCAGGTTCCAGGACAAGAAATGCAAGTGCTTCGGATTGTCGGCCCTCTGTCTCTCTCCCTCCCTCTGTCTAACTACCTACCCCTCGGATCCTCACCAAGGTGAGCTGGGCAGTTGTGTAAACTTGGATATCCGGTAGCTGTGAAGCACAAACCATGACAAAGGTATCGCCGATGCTGTTGTGGTAAAACCAATCCAGTGCCGGGTGCATTGGGCCAACAGTCTGAAATCGGGCTTGTGGGGTACATAGTCTCATATAAGAGGATATTATACTAGTTGTTCAACCCCATACGTTGCTCGACAGGTGGAACCAGGGAACCCCCGGGCATTGCTGGGGACGGGGGTAGGGGGGGTCAACACTTCTGTTGTCCTTGCTTGGCTGGCTCTTCAAGATCTCCAAGGCATCCTGCTTTTGAGCTTCAGGAATTTCCAAGGAGTGCTGGCTTGCCTGGTTTCTAGATGCTTGCAGCTGGCATATAGTAGTGTTGGCGTTATTCGGCAAGCTGCAAGATCTACTGTCAACTCTATGCTTACTTTAGTACTCGTACTAGCCGTGCAACTTGTACTGTTGATGCCGCTCGTACTCCTCGTAGTACCACCATTACTAGTACTATAGACTATAGTACAGTATATTTTGTCCTAGCAGAGCGACCAATACTACCAGCTACAGCTGCTACTGATGCCGCGTTGCCACTGCCAATGCTCTGCTACTACCGCTTCCACCGCTGCCACGCGATGATGTCCGTGGTGATAAGTAAAGCCCGGGACCGTCAATCACGAGCCCTCGTTTACGTGCTCAAGACCAACCGTAACAGCCATAGACCGTACATCAGACGAAGAGCACAAGCTCCGAAGTCAGTTCTTCAAAGGACATAGACGGGGGAGTGACTCAAGCTTGAAGCGCTGCAACCTTGAAGCCAGAACCTCCCAGCACATCACGGAAAATGATGCTGAGCATTCAGGACTGCTGTTCCCGTATCCTTGTCGGAGATGTAGTGCTCCAGATTCCTGGCTGCCCCTCAACCGCAAGCCCCCTGATTAGGATTGGACGGCTTTTGACAAGGAACCTCTGCTGGAGCAGATCGAACCCCCTAGCTCGCAGAAAGAGGGGTGTAGAGTTGTGACATCTTGACAGTCCACCCACGGAGCTCATCTGCAAGTGACTCAAGCCGCCGAAGCACGCTGCTTTGAAGAGCTTCGCGCCCCCTCCGTTCTTGAGCTCTACCTGAACGTGGTCCGGACGTCCCGGGCTTCCTTAAGAGAGCGGGAAAGTCTACTGATCCCGGCACCGTTTATCAAAGGTTCGCGGCCGGCCAAAACCGCAAGCACACTCCGTCCCAGAGAACTAGATTAATGCGTAACTAGTGGATTCTAGAATCTAAAGCTTATTGCGAAACGGCTAATTATTTGCACCATGTCTCAGTCTAAAGTCTGCGCAAAGAATCGCAGGTGTGCCAAAATGCAGGCCCCAGCTTCGATCCATGTTCTATAGGTCACTATAGGCCCTGCGTGGGGATCCTAAATCAAACAACTTGCCTGCTGTCCATGTTGGGCCTGTGTGCCACATGCAATACATGAATCTCCCATGGCGACCTCACTCCTGAATACAACCCAACTCCTTGTAAAATCTTCCTGCTTGGCTTAAGGCGTAAGGACGAATGAATCTTCAGCCTGCCACCGCGACTTCTGATCATCAAAGAATGTCAGCACGCCTCCGGAAGGGGCATTGCTTGGAAACAATAGCTCGTTAGGTTTCCTTGCTAAGTTTTCAGGCGGGGGCAGGGAGGTAGCTCAGAGCTTTCAAGACCTACCACAGCTCCAAGCAGGAATTTCTCCTGTTATGGAGAAGCACAACAAGTCTGAACCAATCCCGACCCAAAAGTCCAAAAGCTGCAGTCACCCGACATCGTGAGAAACACGGAGCCTGTGAGGACCCTGAGAGGCACTGACAGTCTCAACCGTGGCCAGCGCCGTGATCAGAGACAAAGAGCAAATCTAGCGACAGGACATTGTAATCATAACCACAAGTAGTCGCAACTCTTGTCCGACTCGACTTCATGCGTCTTTGTGAGGAAAACACACTATAACGACTGTGCAAACTGAGGAGGGGTATGTACAGCGTCGGGGTGGTGATGCTGGCAGTTGGAGGACTTGGCATCAGCCGGAGCAGGGTCGGGTTGCTGTCTCCGTCGCAGGCCGTTTGTTTCTACAGGTAAATTATCGAACTGGCCTCTGCCACAGCCGCTATGCTATACCAACAGCATGCGTGGCAGCACCAATACCTACAACGACAACGATAAGGACAACAATAAAGCACCCAAAACTGGATAGCACGAACTCCATCTGCACCAACCTACTACACCTAAGGCCCAACCTTCGAGCCCATTCAGCTCCGGCCGCGCTTGGAGCCCCTTGACGCGCACCGGGAGTCCAATGCGGAGCTCCTCCTCAAGGGCGACGGTTGAGGCTTTTAGGGGCTGAGGGGTTTGGGGGAAGCCGTTCTTAAAAAACACAGTTGCAAAGCTTCCCGTCTGACCGAGAGTGACGGTGCTTTGAGGCTGGATGCCGCAACAAATGGCCCGGAATTCTATTAAAAAGGCAACTCCGAGAACCATAGAAACCAAGAGTGCCACAATATGAGGCACGGAAAGGTGTCAAGGCTGTGTATTGCAGAACCATGAATGATTCTACCATATCATATTCTACCCCCTTCACTGTCATCTCTTCCTGCCGCAAACCCGCAAGCAACAAATCCAAATCCTGTCAGCCGCTACCCCGCATCCGGCCATTCATGTTGAACTTGAACCTTCAAACTGGATGTGCCTGTGGCTGCTGCGATGCCTCGCCATCCAGTTTGGATGCTTGAGCTTCTTGTGCCTGACAGCGGGATTTCAAGACATCCCAAACAACTCGCAACAAATTCTGCCGGACTTTGATTCGGATTTCAACTTAGTCTTGGGTTGTGGGCAGCATACAGGGGTCACTGCATGTCCTCTCAGCTTCCACTGGATACTGACCCTCTAAAGCCTCTTTTCCGCGAGAAGGGGCCGGCTGCGTGGGACCGCAGGGTTCTGAGAGCTCTTGAACATCTGTGAACTCGACCTAGGGGTCTTCTACGGGCTGCTTCCGCAATCCCTGCAAGGGTGCCAGAAGCCTTGAGGCTTCAAGCGGGAGCCGTAGGACCCTATATAGGGCTTAGGCCATCCTGCCGAACGGCCATCAGTGCGTAAATCAGGACAAAAAAATGCCGGCTAGCCGACGGCGCCTTCTTCTGGAAGTCGGCGAAGGTTTTAAAGGAAGGCATGGCGAGGGCCCGAGGGCCAGGGCGCGCGCTTCGATTTCGAAGTCTAAGTTGAGATCCGATATACTTCGTAGTCTCAGTTGCTAAGCGCACCGCTTGAAAGGCAAACCAGCTTGCGGTCATTACAATGGCGGATAGGCAGAATCACAACTCCAGACCTGATGCGCCGTGTTGCTTGATTTTTTCTGGTAGTCTGTCAAAGACTAGCTAACCTCCAGCTTCAGCGGAATTGTGCGCACAGGCTGACGTGCGGATGGGATGCTGTCATGTGAGGGCAAAAAAGCCATCAGAATGAACACCGACGCACGTCTGAGAATGCTCTACGATTGTCAACCTCAACCGTGACAGTGTTCTCGGATGTAATTAAACCTGGATGGGGACTCCTGCTCTTGAGAATGACCGAGATGTCCAAGGACCGTAAACGGCCCCGTCTAAAGGTATAGAGGCCCACTGTGTTTAGATCAGCGTTTTATCCAGAAGACTGTGTGCACTTGGAGCCTGCGCCCTGTACCAAATCTGGAATACTTACCCTCGCGCTTGGACCTCGAAGCGTATAGATAACGCTGGGCCCTGAAACCTCACAACCCAACTGCCAAGGCATGGGACAGCTCCTGCCCTTCCTTCACGCTACACAACACTCTGGCAAATAATGGGGACAACACTTTCTGATTCTGATACCACTCGCCCACGAAGACGCCAGAAGCAAAAGCGATTCCGTCCCGTCTGGTCGCCGCACGACAATGAAAACGGAAGGGCTATCGCCCCACACCCAGAGACAGCCCCCGTCAAGTGTGCGGGTGGGAAAGCCGTGCAGCTGATGCCATGAGGGCCTCATCCTAAAGAGTGCACCGCTGAGGTGCTTAGGCTTGGTGCGAGGGGGTTGCTGCTTCGTCCGAGGTGTCCCACCTGAGTCTTGCGTCTGAACGACTGTGACATGCTAACCACTGCTGACAAGCTGGGTCGACCTGTGAAAACCAGGGAAAAGCCTTTAGGACCCGGGTCCAGAAATTTCAACTGAAATCCAAGCTCCTTTGCTGTCGTGAATCTGCACCCGGCCTGTGGCGAAGCCGGCTCCAACAACCAAAGCCCATGGTGATGCAGGTGCCTTGGACGAGTTTTCGTGTTGACATGATGGGACCCGCACAGGTTCTTGCCGTGAGGATCCTGTACTGAGGTTTGGGGTTAGAATCGGTTGGAACCTCTCGCAATATCACGTCACAAGTGCAAAACCACAAATGCTAAATCATGCATAGTCTTGAACCCCGGATTGTTCAGGCATGACAACTTCTGGCACTTCTTGCGGTCGCCTTTCCTACAAGCTTCACAGATTCTTGCAGGAACGGCAGGGGGTTACCGGGTGTCGCCGCACGTCCTTCTCTCATACTACTGGGGTGCTGGCTACGCAAACAAGCAGGACAAGGAGCTTCGGATTAGCATCTAGGTGTGAGACCTTCTATCGGCAAAAACAGGAAATTCTCGTCCTCTGTCTATCGTCCGACTCTACATACACGTTGACAGCAAGCATCATTGCATCGACTGTTCAAGCTTCGGACTTGGTGTCTTGTTTTTCAGATCCGAAGACCAAAGATATACTGCTACTTGCCTGATGCAGAAAGACGTTCCGGCCTCTCTCTGTCTCTCACGGATCACAAGATATCACAGGAGCTTCATATGTCATTGGCCATCGCATGATCTCGAGCTCACACTCTGCTGGAAAGGGCTATGAGATAACAGAACCGCACCGGCAAGGATCCTGGCGTCTTTTACAAAGCCTTGCAAGGCGGCGGATGGTGCTCGCATCTCTGAGATGAATTGCTAAAAACACGTGCGTGCGCATCGGCACACATCGTGCTAAAGGCCCGCAGGCCCAGAGTCGAAGCGTGATCTTCGATTGTGAACGTTCTCAAGAACCCGAAACTATCCGAAACCCAGTGACTTACGACACACTGGGTGGATGTACGGCGTTCAAGATGCAGTGAAGGACCCAGGGTCTAAGATAGCTGAGTGTTACCATAGCTTCTGTACTTATAGCTTCCGTTCAAGCGCAGTCCCGGCAACCAATCTGGAACCCCGAAGCACGCGTAGCCGCAACCCAAACAGTGCATGATACATGCAAACGAAAAGCCGCTGACCCCTTTTTGGTTTGCTGTTGAGGTGCTTCCAGGCTGAAATGTCTTCGAGCAATGAACTCTCGAGTTCAGTGCTTGGGTTCAGGTCTTAGGGGCCTAGGGTTTCGAGTCGACTCTCACAACTTAAGACGTGTGGGGAATCCTAGCCTTGCAGACAATTGCATGAAACTCCGACAACGTGCTTCAGGGTTTAGGACGCGCGGCTTGAAGAGCCACCCTCTCTCACCTCCGGGCGGCTTTCACAACGCTGGACCTGAAGCATATTCTGCTCCTGCACTCCACACCGTCTCTTTCGAGTGCAGCAGAAAAATGATAGGTTCTGTGGCTGCGACAGGGTTGCAAACAGCCACGGCTACATGTTTCATCCGATGGCGTGTAGAAACATGTGCATGTGTATATATGTATATATATATATATATATATATTCATTTTTTTATTTATATGTACATATACATATGTACACATGTATATACATCAATACTGAGCTTACCGGGATTGGGGTCTTCCAACTGAAGGAAAACAAAGCCTGGAGGAGCCATCCTGGGCCATGGAAGGCACCTCTCAGCTGCAGGTGAAATGTTCGCCACACTTCGTGTGACCAGCACTGGGCCCCCAAGAGAGCAAACCACTTAGCACAATGCGACTCCTCTTTCTCGTTGTCCGAAGGGGCCCGGTTTTGGGGGAGTTGCTTCATGCCACTCCCATATTGAGAATATATGAACGGACCACGAAAGCCCAAGTCGCGTCGTGCCTGTATCGAGCACTCATACATCCGGAAGTATGACGTTTCCGTCCTCGACAGGAATCTCGTTACTGCCTGATGGCCACTTGTCGGGGTTCCAATCGCCAAATGCGGTCTTGCACGCCGCCTCCAAGTTCATGCCAGAAGAGGTTGAGGCCATGGTTGCACCTTCCAATTTAACATTGAGCTTGCTCCAAGCAACTTGAAGTCTGTCTTCACTGTTCCCGGTGCCGTAAGTAACTAGTAAAACTACTGTTGGCGTGACCCGTTGACCAGCCTTAACCCTACCATTGCCCACTTTACTGTTATCACGATGCAGTTGAAGAAGCTGGCCTGTGATGCCTGCGACTGATGCCACGCAATTCGCATTCGAGTCTGCGCGACCCACAATGTTAATGCAGGAGTTGCTAACTAACGAGAAGAAGCGAATGCTGAGGCTGAGTGTGGCCATCATGCCGGTGATGTCAATGGCACAAACACGCCCTTCTTGGCCTACCACACCCGGATGGCAATGTATTGTGCTGTCTGCCAGGATGATGGCAAATCGCATCAGGAACGTGGCACCAAATTGGACTTGAGCCACGCATCGGTTGATTGCATTGTAGACCGTACCAGTCGGCACTGCAGGAGGAGCTGGCAACTTCTCGACATCGATGCCCGCATTGATGAGCCACTTGTTCACGCTGCGCGCAGCAGAATCCTTTGCTCTTTGTATCTGTGCCTGCAGGGTTGCATTTGGGCCTTCAGCACAACTCCCGGAAAGAAACCGGGAACACAAGACCCACAAAACTCCCAAAAGACAATGCTGGCTTGAAGCATTCCTCGGACAGTACCAGGGGGAGCTTAGATTTGGCGCCTCTTTCTTGGCAATCACGGCATCGATTTTTTCCTGTGGAGTTCTCTTGCCCTGCTTCACACCCTTGGCGCAGTTCAGGTCGGCCCCAAGCGTGGTCTGCATAAGGACGGTGATGCCCCCTTCAGTAGGGAGTATACACGGTTGAGGCTCCAGGTCAGGGGAAAGCCAGTTCAAAAAGCTCTGGCCTGGAAAAAGGTAGGTCGCGTGTTGCAGAAGCACGAGAAGGGAGCGAAGAAACCAGAAACAAGCCTTCACCTTCCTTTTCCAACACGTCTGCAGTCAGAAACAACAACAACAGCAGCAGCAGCACCACCACCACCACCACCACCAACAACAACCAGCAACCAACCAACCAACCAACCAACCCACCCACCCACCCACCCACCCACCCACCCACCCACCCACCCACCCACCCACCCACCCACCCACCGACCGACCGACCGACCGACCGACCGACCGACCGACCAACCGACCGACCGACCGACCGACCGACCTACCTACCTACCTACCTACCTACCTGCCTACCTACCTACCTACCTACCTACCTACCTACCTACCTACCTACCTACCTACCATGGATAT